TTTTCATTCTTAGGAATGTCTAAATTCAGTTAAACTAGCAATTCCGTATTATATTTATAAATCTTTATAACATTATACAAAAATTAGATTTTTCTTAAAAATTGAAATTTTGCCGGGAATGGGGCTTTAAGACTTTACATGACCCTCAAATACACACCTGAATTTGGATTGTCACAAACACTTAATTTCTTCCTAGTAAGTTGCTTAAACTTTCATGAAAGTTTTATTCAGGTTGATTATTTTTTTTTAAATATCTAATCTAGGATGCTTTCATTTAAATGGTTCTCATAACCATACCCTGCTCCGGATGGTCACCAAAATTTAATCACCTCATCCTTGGGTCACACCTAACATTCCCTATATCTTACATTTAAGATCTGTGCAGCAGTTTTTGAGATATTTTGAACACAATATATACTGTATGCATGATCTCAAAAATTTAAATGACCCTCAAGTTCACCCCCAAATTTGGATTGTGACCAACACTTGGAATTTCTTTCTTGTAACTTGGTTAAACTTTCACAAAAGTCCTCCCATCCACACCCAGCTACTCCAGACCATCACCAAAATTTTATCATTTCTTTAGTGGGTTATAGCTAACCATAACACTCCCTGTAATTTTCAATTATGTATGTGCAGCCCTTTTTGAGATATGTCGTACACAGAAAAAAAAACACACGAAAAACACCAAAACGTCAAACAAACTCGCACGACTGAAAGCATATATGTGAGGTCTCACCACGAAATGAGACACATCGTTGGTGAAATCATTTTGAGATAATCACCAAAATAGGTCATAAGTCAAAATTTTACACAATTTTGATTTTAATGTTTTTGAATAACTTGATATTTATATTTAATAATTGTATACTTTTTAAGTGAAATTTCTTACTAAAACTGTGTTCTCTGCGCATATTCTGTAATTCTAGTCCTATTATTTGTACAGGTTAGTTTATCTTGGAGGCCGATTTTCTCAAAATGTGGTTCTCTTACACATAATATTTAAATGCTCACATCTCTGGATCTACATATCCTAGTGAAGCCATTCAAAGACCAAATTAAAGCTTATAATGTGATCTACCCAAATATAATATAAACTCAATGTTTGATATTCTAACCATGAGACTCGTTTTGTGGTGAGGCCTCACATATTTCCTGGTGGAGAGGATAAACAGAAGAAAAATTTAATGGTTCAAAAATGAAGATGACAGTAGAGCAAAATATTGCATTGAAGTGAATTGTGTTCAATGTAGTAATGCTAACAGAAAATTTTTTTTTCTCTTTTTGAACTTTTTTTCTTTTGTATTTGTTCCAAGAAAAATGCTGAGAAGGAAAATAACGCGGCACATGATGAAGCATTGGTATCATACAGAAACAAAATGCAACATGTGAGTATGAAAGGAAACAAGTCGTTATTTATTTCATTTTAATATTTTTTTAGACTCGTGCCAAGGATAATAGCAAAATTTTTTTGTTATGTAGCAATCCTTCTTACAACACACACAACATGTTTTACATTAAATACTGTAAGTCTCATTATAACGTTTAAATGGGCAGCAGTCGTTTTTGGCTGAGAAAAATTCCTGTGATTGGAGATCTAGCCGGGCTCCAAGCCCTAATTTTGTTACTCAGTGAATTCTGTGAAATATTAATCCTTTTATTGCGCTCAATAAATGCCATACCAAATTTAATTGTCGTATTTTGTAATAAACCTTGTCGTATTTTGTAATACCTGAAGTATTTTGTAACAAATTTTGTCATATTTTGGAATAACAGAGCTGTCGTATTTTGATAACAAAATTATTTTATCTGGTACCAATCTAAGCTCTTCTTTCCTTAGATGTTAGATGTGCTTGCAAAGAGAGCCACATTTCACACTGAAGGGTGTGTACGACATCTGTAATGTTATGTCAATTCCAAGAATGTTTAAGGTTATATCGGTTGATGAGGAATTTATTGATTATTCCTATAATAGTAAATTGCATCAATTTATTTTGCAAAAACAAGGTTTCCAGCTTCAGAGGGGACACATCCCCTGTCCGCACAAGGGCACACATTGGCGCTAACACCAGGCGCGTAACAGGGGTCTTGGGTCAGAGTGGGTATTTATTTTCCCGGTTAGTAATTTATCATAAAGGGCATTTATAAAAGGGTGGGGAAGATTTTCAAAGATAGATAGCCTGTTTTCCCCTTGTCCCCCAGTGGTTACGCCAACGGGCAGCATAGATCAAAGGAGTTATGACAGTTTTTGAGGTGGAGAAGGGGGTTGCAGGGTGTTGTGAGTCTGGTCATTATATCTTCATTTTTATTCTTGTCTTTATTTTTCTCTTCTCTTTTTCTTTTCTTTTCTTTTCCTCTTCTTTCTCTCCCTCTCCCCTCTTTCTTTTCTCTTATTACCCAGCCCGGTACGACGGCTTGGTCAGCCCCCCCCCCGCGCCTCTTACAACACTGGCTAACACGCCAATCTTCCCCCCAATGAAAAATACTTTTCTACGCCACTGTTTGTAATTGCTCTCTGTTATATTTTGTTAAAAAACTGAGCTGTCGTATTTTGTAATAACACATCAAATGCCTGTTTTCTTCTATACTTTCGCAGTCTTTGAGGGATTAAATAAAAACATGTTAATGATAAAGGAGAATATGTATTAAATGACCTAAAGAGTGAATATACCAATCCACAAGAATAGTGTTGAATATTTCGCCGTATCAACTACACATCAGCAACTGAGGCAGGAATTAGGCAGGCCAGGTCTTATATACTGTGCTAATAAGCTAACAGGTATTGGAAAGTATTGAGAAGAAAAAAAAATCAGGTAATAAGAAAAGCGTCACTAAGCTCATTCTTACGGTTTATAGAGGGCCTTATGCGATTGATACATTGTGCTTCCAACACACGAAGGCGCAATTCATTTTTAGGCGCTCTTCTGACGATGGAAACCAAGATATCAGGGTCTTTCACGGCAGGATGAGATTCAACAAAGTGCGCGCCGAGCGCAGAGGTGGTGCTGTGTTTTCGAGCTGAAGCGAGATGTTCAATCACCCTAAAGTGAAGCGCCCTAACAGTGGAACCAACATATTCTTGATGACAAATCTGGCAATGAATCTTATAAACCACGCAAGAAGATGAGCAGATGTTGTTTTTTAAAGGACATCTAGCAAGGATACATCCAAAATTAGGCTTACAAGCTTTAGTAAATTGAGAAATGGTGTATGTAACCACTCTAGCATTGATGTTATTTCGCTTAAGGGCTAACCGTATCTGGGTATTAAGTTGATCGCTGACAAAGGGAATTTTAAAGGTGAAGTTAAAGTCTGTTAAAACCCCTGAGGTTTATTCTCAGTGTGAGCGGGAGGGTCCAACCAGTGGCGGGGATATCCATTGTTCATAAGTTTATGGTTTAAAATCCCAATCCCTTCGTCCACAAATTCTGCTGTACATAATTTACCAATTCTTTTGTATTCATTGGTAACCACTGCTTTTTTAATAGAAAGGGAATGGTGCGATTTGTAATGCAGAATGATACCATTGTTGGCCGCTTTAGTGTAAAATTTGGTGGAAATCGATCCATCTGAATTGATCCTAAGTTAACATCGAGTATTGGTAGGAATCCATCTGCATCAGGTAATTCCATCTCAAACTTGATGGTGGGATGTTGAGCATTAATATGTTCAAGGAGGAGATGTGCATGATTAGTGTCTTTGACGATAACCCCAGTGTCATCCACATATCTGATGTAAACAATAGGTCTGGGTATGGGGCCCATATAAATAGAAGAGCGTTCAAACCTATCAAGACTGAGAATAGCAAGGGTACCACTGAGGCTATTTCAAAAACTGTAGCACTATAGAAAAAATAGTTTTGAAGTGCGATTCTAAAATGTGACCTCATAGTATCATATACTCACACCAAACAACAAGAGTTATTACAAAATACGACATCTCTGTTATTACAAAATACAACTAGGTTTATTACAAAATATGAGAGGTATTACAATATACAACAAGGTGTAATACAAAATACAACAGGTATTACAATATACGACAATTATTACAAAATAAAGGTGACTGTACTCTATTTCTAGTTCTTTTTTTTTTTTTATGTTGTTGTCTGGTAGTTGAAGATAGCTGAAAGGGTAAATCCGGTGGAGGTGCATGATGGGTCATGTGTCATCTTCAGTGCCTTATTACTGTACAAAAGTCATAAAAAAATACAACACCACACATTTCCTAATAACCGAATCTCATGTGGATATGATACTTTATAGTAAGGCAGTATAGGGCATAGACACGCGCTCCTGCTGGGAGCCTGTTTTTTTGGAGTTAGTTTTAATAAGTGACTAGTGGTTAGTCTATTAGAAGGCAAGAATTTTAACCACCAAACTACAGCTCCAATCATCTCACTTGCAGTAGTGGTTATTAGATTATGCATTATATTACATTGTATTTGTATGTATCATGCTTGGGGGCTAACTCAAAAGGGTCAGTACCAAAGAAGTCTCAAATTTTAGGAGTTTGCCACAAAGTATACAGTCTGTCTCTTATACACATCTCGTGAGAACAACTTGAAGATAAAACACGATAGGCATAGTATAGGGCATAGACACGCGCTCCTGCTGGGAGCCTGTTTTTTTGGAGTTAGTTTTAATAAGGGACTTGTGGTTAGTCTATTAGAAGGCAAGAATTTTAACCACCAAACTACAGCTCCAATCATCTCGCTTGCAGTAGTGGTTATTAGATTATGCATTATATTACATTGTATTTGTATGTATCATGCTTGGGGGCTAACTCAAAAGGGTCAGTACCAAAGAAGTCTCAAATTTTAGGAGTTTGCCACAAAGTATACAGTTATGTATATTCCAGTAAAAATTTTATGTTGCAAGTAATTTTCATGGAACAACAAACCTCAGTTGCTGTTATTATGACAGCAATTTTTACCCAAATGTTACCCAAATGTTAATGGGCAGTGGAGGCGCCAGGACTTCCCCGACGGGGGCAAAGGTTCCCAACTGGGGGGTTTCAAAGGCTTATTTAATCGATTTTAGAGTCTTAATATGTACGAAATACATATAATTTTGTTGAATTTTTTTTTCTCCCCGACGAATTGAGGGTTTTACCCCTGACGGGGGAGGGGCTGTCCCCCATAGCAAGCCTTCTCCCCACCCCCACCCAGCACCGCCACTGAAACCTAGGCTTTCATTATTAATGATATTTCTGTACTTTTTATTGCAGTAGTAAAGTATTAACTTTTTCTTTTTAATTCATTATAGCCCAGAGTGCAAGGTGGCTTAATACCCTTTGCGCTCTGGGCCCCATTTATCTTCATGCCTAGGGTCTCCCTTCAACATGACGCCAAATTTCTTGTTGAGAATGAGTTATATTGATGCTATAAGCGGTATAAAAAGGCATTATATCTAAATCATTGTAAACAAATGTTATCTTTATTCAGGGTTTCTTAAGTAGATTTGGTTTTGAGGAATTGCATTGCGCTCTGGGCTCCATTTATCTTCATGCCTAGGGTCTCCCTTCAACATGACGCCAGATTTCTTGTTGAGAATGAGTTACTGTATATTGATGTTATAAGTGGTATAAAAAGGCATTATATCAAAATCATTGTAAATGTTATCTTTATTCAGGGTTTCCTAAGTAGATTTGGTTTTGAGGAATTGCATTATCAAACAAGTACAAATGCAGAAAAAAAGTATGACAACACTGCCGTCCAAGGCTTTCCATCGTACCAGCAAAACAAGATGGCGCTGACAAGATCAATCCTCACTATGTACACGGAATTCAGATCTAGAAGAACTTTTTGGATTTGGTTTAGAAAAAGCCTGCTTGGTTATACTACTGAGGAAGTTGCCATTCCTTCACACTTGCTAAAATCCAGAGCTAGATGAATACCATTGTTTTAAACATACATCCACTCTGCAGCAAACACTAAAATATGACTACACTAGTATTATACAGTTATTCTTTATATATATTTTTAACTATAATTTTAACTTAGTTCACCATGAAAATTATTTTACAATGTAGTTCTGGTAGTTAAAGTTGGATTAACTATTTTAACAGACTGAGTTATAGAACCATAGTTTTATATACTTATTAATAAAAATTCAACACAATATACTTTGTTAAAATAGTAGAGTAGATATTGTTTGAAAAGGGGTATAACCCCAAAAAATTGCAACAAAAGTTTTTTCAACAAGGAAAACCTTTAGGTCAGTTGCACAACACAGCTGTGGATCCTTTTGCCATTTCTACTTTTTTTGAATTGGATGTTTTAATTTATTGATATTTAATATTTGTAATATTGGAATTTTGATTGATATTTATAATTTGTAATTTTTTCATTTTCTTTCATAGTAGCTGACTGATCTTACACATTTTATGTTGCTTGATATACCAGCAGTTATAAATCTTAAGCTCTGATGCTACTTCACTATTAAGTAATACTGTACTAGTAGGTTTGCACTTTAATTCGAGACCACTTTTGGGATCTGACAATGTGGTATGGTCTTCAGGTTCAGTCTCCAGTTAGGGGGTTAGCTGTGTATTAAAAGGTTAATGGTAAAAAGTGTTCTGAAATTAGCAGGGTCTCGAATTGGAGGGGGAACTTGATGTACAACTTTTACTTCAAATAGATTGCTCTATCTTATACTGGCATTGAACTAGTGCCAGTTCAGTTCAGTTCAACTTCATTTAACCATGGAGGCCCAGATCAACATAAGGTTGTTCTTCCCTGTGGCCGTGCACATAAATACAATACAAAATAAAAAAGTCAATATGTGGCTAACACAAGCCAAACCAGTCACTCGTCGCGAAAATTGATTTTTGGTTGTTAATATAGGGCTAAACAGCAAAATGAGAGCTATATAAAATGGTAAAAGAATCATTTGAAAAGAATCATCAGAATCAATCAAAACATCAAGATATTCTCAACCAACAACAAAGTTCTTTTCAGAACTATCTATGTGGTGTACTGCAAGCATTGATTCTTATACATGTATAAATTGCAAAAATAAATCAAAATAATATACAGTAATAATCTTACTCTAAAATAAACAAAATGTTGCTGCATTGTGTATCTAAGCCAAGAATATTCCATTCTGCCCCTAGAACCAGCGCTGATATTATGGTTGTAATATCAGCCAACATTTTTCTCTACAACCAAACCATTACAAAATTCAATCTTATTTCCAAGTTTTACCATTTTATAGGGGGTTTCTTTTTGGTTGGATGTTTAGTTGATTTTAATTTGTAATTTTTGCATATTTAAATTCTTTCTACCATCCAGTTTCGGGTGCCATTGACTATCTCTATCTTTAATTGTATT